CTGCTCTTCCAGAGGTCCTGAGTTCAATTCCAAGCACCCACATGGTGGCTCATAACCATCTGTAATGAGATCTGGCACCCTCTTCTGTATACATAATAAATAAATCTTAAAAAATATTAAAAAAAAAAAAAAAGAAGCCAGGCATGGTGGCATGCACTTGTAATCCCAGCATCAGATGGATGGTTGGAGACGCTGGGTGGCTCACTGGTTGGCTCACCTTGTCTGCTTGACATGTTCCAGGCCAGCAAGGGACCTGTCTCAAAAGAGCAATGTAGCTGGTGCTTGAAGAGTACCCAGGATTGACCTCTGAGTTCCATATGCATGTGTACATACACTCACACATGCACACACACTCACACATGCACACACTCTCGAACACACACTCATGTTCATCCACTTGCTAGCTCCACACGTTGAGAAGAGGTTGATTGACTAAGGGCATGGATACCAGAAGGTGGGTTCACCTCATGGTGATTAGCAGTAATTTAGAGGCTTGTGTGAGTGAGTTGGTGGACAGAAACCTCAGGCACTCAGGAAGACCATCTTCATAAAGACTCATTGCTTAAACTGAACACAGTTGCTCCATGAGGGAAGGGCTGAATTATAGTTTTTCTATCTTTTAATTTCTTGGGTCTTTTAACTTTAAAAATTCTTCTAAACTTTAGTATAAAAAAGTTGTACACACATGCACACACACACACACACACACACACACACCACCAAAATTAACCAGACCCAGAGACTATACATAACTTCATTTTGAAAATAATTTCAAAGTTAAAGTTGAAAATAGTGATAATCTCACATACCCTTGCCTCCTCTAACAGATGTGTTGTTGGCCAGTTGTCAATACCAATCTATCTATCTATCTATCTATCTATCTATCTATCTATCTATCTATCTATCTATCTATCCACTCACCCACCCATCTATCCATCCTGCCTTTTTCATTCTTTTTCATTTTATTACATTTCCTTGTGTGTGTGTTTTTCAGTGCACTTTCCCATGACATACCTGTGGGGCTCAGAGGACAACTTGAGGGAATCCATCCATTCTTTCTTTCCCACAATGTGGATTCCTGGGATAGAATTCAGGTCTTCAGGCTTGGAGTTAAAAATCTGTGTAGCAGGAATCTTAGAAGGTCTTATTAATAAGATCAAACCCAGGAGCCAGGTATTGGGGTGAATGATGGAAGATCAGAGAAGCAGAACAAGCCACAGCCACCTCATCTTACCAGTTCCTCAGCTGATCCTGTTTCCTCAGACTGGAAGCCTCTGAGTCCTCATCCAAATGGATCTCAGCTGAACTGCTTCTCGAAAGCCTGAATGCTTAACCAG